GTTGACTACTTTCAGACCTTCTCTCCCACCCCAAAGATGACCACTCTTCGGGTGCTGCTACACATAGCCGCTCAGCGTGACTACGAGCTTCACTCCCTTGACTTCAGCACTGCTTTCCTGCAGGGTAGCCTGCACAAGGAGATCTGGTTGCGCCGTCCACCTGGATTCACTAGGACTTTCCCTCCTGGCACCCAGTGGAGCCTCCGACGGCCAGTCTACGGTCTCCGCCAGGCACCGCGCGAGTGGCACGACACACTGAGGACTACACTTGCGGCTCTTGGGTTTGCTCCCTCTACTGCTGACCCGTCGCTGTTTCTACGCAACGACACCTCTCTGCCGTCGTTCTACATCCTCGTGTACGTCGACGACTTGGTCTTTGCCACAGCTGACACTGCTGGACTCGCCCACGTGGAGTCCGAGCTGCAGAAGAGACACACGTGCACAGACCTGGGTGAACTGCGCAGCTACCTTGGCTTGCAGATCACCCGGGACAGAGCACGCCGCACCATTACCCTAACTCAGTCACACATGGTGCAGCAGGTCCTTCAACGCTTTGGCTTCACGTACTCCTCGCCTCAGGCCACTCCTCTGTCTACTCGCCACTCGCTCTCAGCTCTGCCTTCGGATGAGTCCGTAGAGTCGAGTGGCCCGTATCCAGAGCTTGTTGGCTGCCTCATGTACCTGATGACCTGCACACGACCTGACCTTGCATACCCTCTTAGCATTCTTGCACGCTATGTTGCTCCTGGGAGACACAGACCAGAGCACATGGCTGCAGCGAAAAGGGTGTTGCGCTACTTGTGCAGTACGTTGGGCATGGGGCTAGTGCTTGGAGGGCGCAGTCCAGTGGTCCTCACTGGGCACGCGGACGCTTCTTGGGCAGACGACCAGGCTACGCAGCGGTCGTCCCAGGGTTACACCTTCAGCCTTGGTTCCGGCTCTGTTTCGTGGCGGGCTACTCGCTCGTCTTCTGTTCTCGGCTCCAGTTCTGAGGCTGAGATCTACGCCGGAGCCATGGCTGCACAGGAGCTTCGCTGGCCTACCTACCTGCTGACTGACCTCGGAGAGCCGCCTCGTTCTCCTCCGGTGCTGTACGTAGACAACAAGGCCATGCTGGCCTTGTGTCGGGAGCAGCGCCTGGAGCACTGAACGAAGCACATTGCTCTCCGCTACTTTCTTGCTCGTGAGTTGCAATAGCGTGGTCAGTTGAGACTTGCGTACGTGGCCTCTAAGGCCAAAAATGCTGATGTTTTCACCAAGGCACTTCCGCCTTGCGATCATTAGCGCTTCTGCACTCAGCTCGGTCTTGTGCTTGTCTTGCCTCACTTGCTCACCCCTTGACCTTGCTTGTACTCTTACATATATATATACCTGCTCTTGCTTGTTTAGCCTTACATATATATGTGTACTCCTGCATGTGAACTGGCCTTGTGGCCTTGACCTTGTGCTCGGACTGTGTGGTGACGTTGTGATCCACCCTGAGCTTTGTCTGCTTTGCTTGACTGGTCTTGTGACCCCTTGTTCTCCCCCACTTTGCCTATGGGGGTGTGTTAAATTATAATATTGTGTAGGCTATAGTGGGGTGGCCTATATGGCGTACACATTTCTAGGGTTGCATATTTGTATCACTTCCATTCCTTAGTCATTCATCTCGTTCTATTTTTCTCATGGTATCGAGCAGGTTCCCCCGTGAGAACTGTGCCTAGGGCCCACGACATCGACTCTCTTTTTTTTTCCTGCCCGAAGCGCGCTCCGCCCGAGTCGCGCTTCGGGCTCTCACCTCATCGAGCCGCCCTAGCGGCCCCTACGCCCTAGTGGCCCTATCGCCCTAGCGGCCCCCTTCCCCTAGCGGCCCCGCCGCCCGTCGCTTCGGCCTTGCCGCCCTTCTCAGCGGCCCCGTCGCCCCACATTGCGGCCCCGCCGCCCGTCTTCGCGGCCCCGCCGCCCGTTGCTGCGGCCGCGCCCTTTTCGGCGGCCCCGTTGCCCCACACTTCGGCCCCGGCGCCCTACTCAGCGGCCCCGCCGCCCTACTCCGCGGTCCCGCCGCCCTTCTACAGCGGCCCCGCCGCCCTAATCAGCGGCCCCGCCGCTCTTCTCGTGCAGCCCCGCCGCCCTACTCAGCGGCCCCGCCGCCCTACTCCTGCGGCCCCGCCGCCCTACTCAGCGGCCCCTCCGCCCTAATCAGCGGCCTCGCCACCCTTCTCCTGTGGCCCCGCCGCCCTACTCAGCGGCCCCGCCGCCCTTCTACTGCGGCCCCGCCGCCCTTCTCAGCGGCCCCGCCGCCCTACTCAGCGGCCCCGCCGCCCTTCTACTGCGGCCCCGCCGCCCTCCTCAGCGGCCCCGCCACCCCTCTCACCAGCGGCCCTGCCGCCCTACACCGCCCACGCCACCCGAGCTTCCCAAGCTGCCCGAGCCGCCCGAGCCGCCCGACTCTCCTGAGCCGCCCGAGCCGCCTGACCAGCCCGAGCCGCCCGAGCCGCCCGAGCCGCCCGACTCTCCTGAGCCGCCCGAGCCGCCCGACCAGCTCGAGCCGCCCGAGCCGCCTGACCAGCCCGAGCCGCCCGAGCCGCCTGATTAGCCGAGCCGCTAGTGCCGCGGAGCCGCAGTCGCTGCTGTGCCGTACGAGCAGCCGTGTTGCCGTGTTACTGGACTGCTGAGCTGCCCGACCCACCCTATCCGGTGAGAGCAGCGCTTCTGTCACTGCACTGCCCATGTCCTACAGTTGTTCCTGCTAGTCTACTGCTGTCATGGCTACCCCTAGCGTTCTCGCTTTTGACGCTGAGGGTCGAGCCATTGACTTTGAGGTTTGTGTAGATGACCTGCAGCTCTTCCTACAGTGCGATAGGGCAAACGGTCTCTCCCTCTTTGACCTCACCTCTGGCGCCTCTCCTGCCCCTGCTGCTGATGCTGACCCCACTGTTCGCTCCCAGTCGGCCACACGCGATGCTGCTGCACGTCTTGCTGTGCGTCGCCACCTGCCTACCACTGAGCGCGCGCACTTTAGTCAGTACAAGAGTGCTCAGACCTTGTACAATGCTGTAGTTGCGCCCTAATCTTCCCCTGCCACGGCTGCACTGAGCCGCCTCATGCTACCGTACCTCTTCCCTGACCTTGCTGCCTTTCCCACAGTCGCTGACCTCATTACGCACCTCCGCACTAGTGACACTCGCTACCGCGCCGCGCTTCCTGCTGAGTTCTGCGCCAAGAACCCCCCCACCCATGTACATCACTCTCTATTATATAGTCACCCGCCTCCCTGACTCCCTTCGCGTAGTCAGGGACCACTTCCTCTCAGTCTGTCCCACCACTCTCACTGTTGACCTCCTCGAGAAGGCCCTCCTAGCAGCGGAGAAGAGCATAGTCGCTGTAGGAGCCTCTCGTGGTGACCCTCGCACCCCCATCTTTGAGGGGTGTTCCCCTTCCCCCCTGTTGCCCTCTGTCGCCTCTGCTGCTGCGGCCGACCTCGTTGGTCTTGAGTCGGTCGGTGCGGCGTCTGCCCCTGGCGGGAGACGTCGCTCTGGCAAGGGCAAGGGGGGCAAGGGCGCGGGTGGAGCTAGCAGGGGTGGTGGAGGTGGCGGTGGAGGCGGCGGAGGGAGTGAGGGTGGCGGTGGGAGTGGCGGCGGGGGTGGAGGTGGCGGTGGCAGCAGCGGAGGCGGAGGCGGCGGAGGCGGTAGCGGTGGGAGCGGAGGCAGCGGTGGTGGCGGAGGTGGAGGCGGCGGTGGTGGAGGAGGTGGAGCTGGTCGGGGTGGTGCTTCGCAGCGGAGCGGCTCCGGTGGTGGTCAGCGCCAGCAGCAGCAGCAGCAGCAGCAGCGTTCTCGGGACATCCCCCCTCCTCAGCAGCTCCGTGAGTGGTACACGCAGCGTCAGCGTGGTTGGGGTTTTGGTCCGTGCACCTACGTCCTTCGCTCCGGCGACCACGCTGGTGAGCAGTGTGGGGGTGCCCACCCCACCCAGCACTGCTTTGGCCGCCCGACGGATGCTTGGCGTCAGCAGTTCCCGTAGGCTAGTGAGATCCCCCCCTGGGGAGAGCTGTCTAGGGCAGGTGTTGCTATCTATGATCTTGACTTTGATGCTATCCTTGCCGCCATGTATGCTGTGACTATTAGTGATGAGGGTGACTGTAACCGGTGTTTCCCGCCCGACCCGGGCATTGGTACTTGTGAGGATGCGCTCTCAGGTACCGCATCGGACTGTGTGGTGACGTTGTGATCCACCCTGAGCTTTGTCTGCTTTGCTTGACTGGTCTTGTGACCCCGTGTTCTCCCCCACTTTGCCTATGGGGGTGTGTCAAATTATAATATTGTGTAGGCGATAGTGGGGTAGCCTATATGGGGTACACATTTCTAGGGTTGCATATTTGTATCACTTCCATTCCTTAGTCATTCATCTCGTTCTACTTTCCTCATGGTATCGAGCAGGTTCCCCCGTGGGAACTGTGCCTAGGGCCCACCACATCGACTCTCTTTTTTTTACCTGCCCGAAGCACGCTATCACGGAACAGCAAATTTCGACCAATCAGGTAATTTTGGAAATTGTACTCCCCAGGAGAATTCGATTCAGTAAGGAAACCGAACCTGAAACACGTTTTTACTAACAGTAAAAACGTGCACAACTATGAACGTTGTAAACCTGAGCAACTACCAACTCAAGTGAAATATGCATGTGTTTGTCGTTTCACCTGCCGTTGCTGACTCGACAGATTCAAGTGCTTGTCGAGGAACGTTTCTACAAGGTTCGTTCTCTTTGCTATTTGTTTCTCTTTGCTTGTACCATAATCTTGTCCTATGAACTTTTGCTAGTGGAACTATGCTTGAATTCTACCAAGGCAACTAAGTCTACTTCTGAGAATCACTACCAAAACTCTGACCGTGTGTCCCACACTAATCAAGCTCTCCCGTAGAATAGCATTCTCCGCAGAGGGGAGGAGAGGGGGAGAGCGGGAGGCGGAGTGGGGGTAGTCCATGCAAGGGAAAATATGTGTCACGCTCAATACGCATCAATCAGCCGAACCCCACACACCTGGAGTAGTAGATGTGCAGCATCTTGATCTTCAGTTGTCTATCCACACTTGAATCGGAATCCTTGATTTTTAGTTCTGCCAGCGGTGCCTCGGCCTCGTTGTCGTATTCCGGATCAAACTCGTTGCGCTTCGTGTTGTACCCGCTTGTGATTGGCGCTGCAGCGTCGTCTGCCTTGGTGCCTGGTTCGGGTCTGTGGTGGGGGATAACAGCCAACAGGGAGGAAAGAGAAGCAAAGGGGAGACCTTTTGAGTTGATTCAAGAGCCGAGGTGACTTGTCAGTGAGTTAACACAGAAGCCCCGGCTTGCTACTGGCTCTGCCAGCGGTGCCTCTGCCTCGTTGTCCTATTCCGGGTCAAACTCGTTGTGCTTGGCGTTGTATTGTACCCGCTCGTGATTGGCGCCACACCACACCAGCATCGCCTGTCTTGGTGCCAGGCTCAGGCCTGCGGTGACGGAGATGATAGGCTTGAAACCCTCCATGCACTCGACTAGGTGACTCTTGAGTCGACTCAAAAGTCACCTTGAAACCCTCCACGCACTGGACTCAAGGAATGTTCAACCACTCGACCACTGAAATGCGTTTTAAGATATCTTCAAAAGGTTGACACAGGGTTGTATGCACTCGGTTGGGGAAGCACTCACTTGACACCATGTCAATCAAGCCGAGTGTAGAGAGGGTGTTTTTCGGACGTCTCAAAAACACCCTCCTTACACGTCGGAAGCACTCACTTGACTTGACACCATGTCAATGAAGCTGAGTGCCATTGAAGAAGTGCTAACACCATGTCAGCAGCACTCGGCTCAATTCACCACTTCATGACACTCCATCCTCATCACTCCCTTGACCTGCCTGGGAATGCTGAACTGAGTTGCCTCTTGCACTTGCAGTGAGGTGTACATAAGGATTTTTGTGGACTCAACAGGCACTCACTTCACCACAGGAACGCTGAACAGAACTGCCTCCTGCGCCCTCGCTGCAGTCTCTGCCGCCTCCTGCTCCTCCATTGCCGCCTTGGCTGCTTCCGTGTCTGCTTGGGTCCGCAGGCGAGTCAGGTCCTGGAGAGAGGCGGCGATACAAGAGGGACGGCAGTAAAGAGGGTGAGGAGGGTTAGAGGTCGACAGTAATCTCTGCTGCCTCCTGCTCCTCCATTGCCGCCTTGGCTGCTTCCGTGTGTGCTTGCGTGCGCAGGTGAGATCGATCCTGGAGAGAGAGAGAGGCAGCGGCACAGGGACGGGGGCACGGAGGAGGGAAATAAGGGTTGGACTCAAGTTAGCAGTCTCATCCGCCTCCTGCTCCTCCATTGTCACCTTGGCTGCTTCCGTGTCCGCTTGGGTTCGTAGGCGAGTCAGGTTCTGGAGAGGCGGCGATACAGGAGGGACACAGGGGGCACTAAAGAGGGTGAGGAGGGTTAGTGGCGGATAGCAGTCTCTCCTGCCTCCTCCTCCACTGCCACCTTGAGTGCTGCCTTGTCTGGTTGCGTGCGCAGGCGAGATATGTCGTAGAGAAAGGCAGGAATACAGGAGGGCCATGGGAGGGACACGGATAGAAATTGCGGGTCGAAGCCAAGCCAACAGTCTCTGCTGCCTCCTGCTCCTGCATTGCCGCCTTGGCTGCTTCCGTGTCAGCTTGCGTGCGCAGGCGAGATAGGTCCTGGAGAGAGAAAGGCAGAGGCACAAGGTTGGGGGCACGGAGGAGGAAAATACGGGTTGGACTCAAGTTAGCAGTCTCTGCCGCCTCCTGCTCCTCCATTGCCGCCTTGGCTGCTTCCGTGTCCGCTTGGGTTCGCAGGCAAGATAAATCCTAGAAAGGGAGGGAGTGATATGGGAGGAACATGGGAGGAACATGGGAGGGACATGGCACTGACACAGGAGGGAACTGAGGGTTGAAGCTAGGCCAACAGTCTCTGCTGCCTCCGTTTCCGCTTGCGTGCGCAGGTGAGATAGGTCCTGGAGAGAGGCGGTGGTGAGACAGGAGGGACACGGGAGGCACTAAAGAGGGTGACCGTTAGGAGGGTAAGAGGCGGACAGAGTGCACTCTCAGGCACTAACCTGACCCACAGGGCGAGAGCAGGTAGTCTTTTGAGGCGCCTCAAAAGGGCAGGTAGTGATCGTGACACTGCGCCTTGCTCATTGCATGGTCGCACCACCACACATACCCGCATGAGGACAGAGACAGTCTACTCGCAGGCAGATGTCCACAAGGTGAGAGCAGGTATTCGTAGAGGTTACATGGTTACAAGGTCTACTCTACTCACAGGGAGGGGGCCACTCTCAGGCACTGACCCACAGGGCCAGAGCAGGTAGTCGTAGAGGTAATGGTCGTGGCACTGTGTCTTTCCCTACGCATGCCCACACACATACCCACAAGCCCATAAGGCTACATGGTTCTACTTCTCACAGGCAAGGGACCGGTGGGTGACAGCAGGTAGTCGTAAAGTTAATGGCACTGTGTCTTGCTCTTTGCATGGCCACATGCACACAAGCACACATGCACACGAGGCTAAATGGTTCTACTACTCACAGGTAAGGGAACGGTGGGTGACAACACGTAGTCGTAAAGGTAATGGTTGTGGCACTGCGCCTTGCTCTTAAACTGGCAGGTGGGCAGAGGGTCTACTAGCAAGGTGTGGGTATGGTAAACTCATAGGTAATGGACCGGTGGGTGACAGCAGGTAGTCGTAAAGGTAGTGGTCGTGGCACTGTGACTTGCTCTTTGATCCCACGTGCTCCACAATCTCCCCCTAGTTGCCCATTCCGTACATCTCCAGCGCCTGATGTGTGCAAGGGGGGGAAGGACAGGAGGCAGGAGGAGAGAGAGAGGAGCATTGCAAAGGAGATGCAGGCAGCTGTGCCATACTGCTCTTGCACCCCACGTGCTCTGCAATCTCCCCCCAGTTGCCCATTCCGTACATCTCCAACGCCTGAAAGGGAGGCGTAGGGAAAAACGGAAGAGGCACATCAAAGGCACATCAGAAGGAAGGTCGGGAAAAAGGTCCGGGGCGATAGGGCGATCAACACACATGCCACCAACGCCCAGTAGCCCAGTTTTAAACTGCCATGCCATGCACCTACTGCCATGCCATGCACTTACTGCCATGCACCTACTTCCATGCCATGCACCTACTGCCATGCACCTACTACCATGCACCTACTCCCATGCCATGCACCTACTGCCATGCACCTACTGCCATGCACTCGCTGCCATGCTAGGTTGACCTTCAATGACATCCGACATATCGCTGCCACACACTTCATGGCATAAACAAGTTACTTTTAACAACCCTTTTTCAACTTCTCACCCCCTCCCACCCCCCCCCCCCCCCCCCCCCCCCCTCCCCTCCCCCCCCTCAAGCAGTCCGTGTACTAGATCCGAGCAAGGTACAGACATGTACAAGGGTATAGAAAATAGTGCAACTCAGCTACAAAAACCCCCACGTCCTACCCACTCCCGTTCTTCCTCTAAGGCAGCTCCAATGCTGGCTCAAGGATGGCAAAGCAGTCCCCAAGGGACATGTCTTCGCCCGGGAGCCACACAGGTGGGTTCTCCGCTGCTTGAGCCGCATAGTTGCACTTTGTCATGAAGCTCACTGACTGCGCCTGCTGCAGCGCCACGGACCACCGCTGGCGGAACTGATGCAGCAGCTTTGTTGCCTGGTAAGATGAGGGGGGCGTGTTGAAGAGCCTGCGGGCGGCGTCAGCTAGAAGTTTGAGGTATTGAGGGACCTCCGCGCAACGGCAGCCATAGGTATCAACGGCAAGTGGGAAGAATCCGACCCACGAGGCCGTTGAGCCATCATGGTCGGAGATTTTCTTCTCTGCCGCCTCCCGTGCGGCCCACCCCCTGCCTTTGACCGCGTTGGGGTCTCGCGTGCTAATGCGGTCCGTGATGGTCACGTCCCCAATCCAGACGGCACCTGCGGATTTGTCCCGGATGGCTATGTCGGCCTTCTTCCTGGTGACGGGGCAGAATGCAGTCGTCTCGCTGTGAGTCATGAAGTCCTTCTTCCTGGTCACTGGCCATCCGCAGGCACTCGTCGTGCAGTTCATTGTGCGTGTTGGTCCTGCCCTTCCCCGTGTCGCAGCGCAGAAGGTGGTTGGGCAGCCTCCTGTCAGGGATTGACGTCTCATTGCGGCAGTCACAGGCACCAGGTGCCGAGGAGGGCAGCCCCAACCGGAACTGCAACGCGTGGACAAAGTGGTCTGGGGCAAGGCACAGTGACTGGTTGAAGGGGACCGCGTTGAGCCAGTCCCCTGCCCCGTAACCCGAGAGCGAGAGCATGCGTTGTGTGTGCACGCTGACTGGGTTGAGAGGCATGATGCGCGTGGCTTGCACCTGCTCGGCGTAGCGCTGTCCGTGTACCGCAATCGAGAGCCCATGCTGCAGCTTGATGCCTTTGGGATTGGCTCGGTCACTTTGCAGCAGCTCTTTCCCATCGTCTGGTAGTGACTATTCGCACCTCTCCAGCCAGTTAACGAGGGGGGACGTGTAGACGAAGGGCCCAACCATCTGGACCCTTGTTTCCGTCAAGGCGCCAGCCGCAGACTTGTCGATGGAGGTGAGAAGGTGTTGCGCTTGCGTGTAGCTTGCGAGGAACCCAACACGCCCTTCCACCGAGGGGTCTGCAAGACCCAAGCCTCCAAGCGAGATCGGAAGCGAGGCTTGGGCCCAGGTGCGTGTGATCTCGGCCTCCCCCCGTGGGTGACCGATGCCGCAAGCCGTCAGGAGCGTCTCAAATAGCCTCTTACCCCAGTCTGACCACTCCTCAACTAGCAGGGGAGAGAGTGGTGTGGTACGTGCCATGTAAGACACCCGCCGTGATATGCAACGGGTAAGTAGTAGCGATGCCAACTGCGGCTCCATCCGAGCGATTAAGGGCAGGGGGCCGCCCATTGTGTCAAGGCTCTCGCGCAAGAAAGCCGCGGTTGCGTCGTTGCCACCGATGAAGCTGCCAAGCACCTTCACCCCATCATCCGTGAAGGGAACGCCCTGGGGAAGTGTTGCTCCCTGTTGGCCCATCTGAGACCATGCCGCGCATTTGGCCGGGTTGTGGCGCAGCCCAATCCCCCCAAGATTCCCAATGAAATTCTTGAATGCCGCTGCTGCTTCCCCAAGAAAAGTGACATCGTCCGCAGAGGCTTGGCAGACCACAGACGGGAAGGCGAGCGCCGTGCTTGTCAACGCCAGGTGTACAGCGGCGGCAAACAGCAGCGGACCGAGGGGATCCCCTTGCCGCACCCCGGTTTCGCTCCGAAGAGGTGGGTGTGAAAAGCCAGCGTCCATGCATAGAGCCGAGGGAAGGCCGTATGACAGCTTAACTGGCGGCAAGAGTGAGGCTAGGGAGGATCCCCGAAGAGATGCAGCGATGGCCGCCCAATTAACGCTGTTGAACGCGTTCGCGAGGTCAGCCTGCAGGGCCAAGGCCCCAGGGTTCGCCATGAGGTATGTGCGTGTGATGTGAATAATCGCCTCTGCCCCTCCAGGAACCGCCACGCCGAACTGGTGAGGAAGGAAGAATTCTCGAGCGGCGCCCGGGGTCAAAGTAAGCGTTGTTTTAGCCGCGAGGCGTGTTATGCTCTCGCCAATGGCTATCGGCCGCGTCCCCCCATCGGGCTTGGTAAGTGCAATTAATCGTGACGCGGTGAGGAGTTCAGCTACTGCAGGAGGGAGGTTTCCTGTAAGTATCGTGTTGATGAGAGCATGCAGGTGTTTTCCCACGGAGGAGTTGATCAATGCTGCATCGCGTAAGTGTTCAAAGGTTGTTCCAGAAGGGCCAGCTCCAACTCCCATCTCACAGCTTCCCAGCACCTTGGAGAAGACCGCAAGCGGTGCAGAGGGGAGGGGGTCCGGTTTGGGGAATGTCCAGTCCGGTGCAGCGGTGGGCACAGGTGGGTGCTTGGCGCGGAGGGCTTCTAGCACAGCTGGAGAGGGTACACATACTGGTGTGGCTTCAAGAGCCATCACGGCCCGTCGTAAGCTGCCACGTCGCGCCAACCCCTCCTCCCTAGCAATCACGCCAATGTCATCGGGCAGATGTCTCGGGGGCTGGGGCCATGTCAGATAATCCACTGTTTCAGTGTGCAATTTGTCCCATCCTCCAGACAGGTTCTGACGAAGGCGAGCGCTGACAGCCTTCCAGTTAGGGCGTCTAGGGGACAGCTGTCGAAGTGTCATTTACGCGAGAAACAGGAGGGCCGTCCGTGCAGGAGTTGAGTCCAGATATTTCGACAGGCGCAGCAGCGGCACCAACAGGGCTGTGGCGAAAAGTCTGCGTGGGTCTGGTGGGAGGTGGCGGGAGAGAGGTGCGCAGCGAGAGTCGCGTAACTTTGTCAGATCCCAGGTCCCTATGCTGGCGAATAGCGTATCATCCTTGGCCATGGTTTCAGGAGATTTTTCCTCTTGTTGGTTTGGGACGGGGTTACCACCAGGTGCAGGTTGCCGGGCAACTTGGGTAGGGGTCTGGATGTGGGAATTCGGGGTTGGGATTGCTGGTGTGGCAATGTTGCCCGAGGCGGCTCGGGTTGGTGTTGGAGGACCCCTCCGAGCGGATCTCACAACTAAGAAACCCCCCGCAATGTGAGCTGTTGTTGCCCTGCCTGCTCGAGCAGGAGTCTGAAGCTGCTCGTCATCCACGGACTCTGAGCTAGAGGTCGAGTCCATAAACTCCGCATCTACAAAGCTACTGTCTGAAAATGGTGGTTTCATTATTGTTGCTCATCTCGTTTAAAGCCCGCAGTCCCACCTGCAGGTACACGTTTTCTGGTCCACCTCCTCGTGCTCGCTCGCCGGGTCCAGCTGCTCTCCCTCCTCGGTCTGCAGTACGTCCTCCGCCGCGTCGGCCGCTTGCTGATCGTGCGCCACCCTCCCGTTGATCCAATGGATCCACTTGCCGCTCCTGGCCGCGGATATTCTGCGGTGAGCGAACTCGCTCCTCGTCCACTTCCTCCTGCGCGTCCTGCCTCGAGCGTCCCTGTTGCTCCGCAGGCTGCTGCTGATCAGATCCGGCGCCGCTTCGAGGATCAGCGGCGCGGACAGGCGCCTGCGCGCACGGAGTTCGTCGTGCGCTCCGGCGCGGTGGCTGCGGCGCACCGGGAGCATTCCCCTCGTCACCATTCAACGGTGGTGCGTGGCGGCAGGCGGGAGAGCCGTTGTGTGGAACGTCACGCCGAACCTCGATCTCCACGGTCGCTGCCATCGCCACGCTCGCCACGTTCGCCTCGCCGCGGGGCATCGAGGAGCCGATCTCGAGACCGTCGGTCACGTTGTCACCATTCACCCGGTTGCCATTCGATGCGTCACCGATCGCCTGCTCCTCACACCTCTCGCCATCGGTCCCCGTCTGCACGTTTGCCGCGGCCGTCAAAGCGCCAGTGGCTCTACTCTCCTCGTCACGGGAGCCGATCTCGAGACCGCAATCGCCCGCACGCTCGAATGCAAGTGGCCGTGCACGCCAGCACATGCCGTCTCGCCCGCAATCGCCCGCACGCTCGAATGCAAGTGGGCGTGGGCGGCGGGGGGGCTATGGTCGAGGCGGAACAGCGCGTCAAGCAACGTCCGCAATGGAGCGCGTTCTCCAGAAATTGGACGGCGTGGAAAAGGCGCTCCACTCCTCGATCGCGGAGTCGTCTTCTCACACAGCGCCCCTAGCTGCACCTGTCGCTCCCCTCGCTGCTCTCCTGCCGCACGACCCAGTGGGGTCTCTGGTGCGTCCTGGCCGTCCGCTGCCCGCAGGAACTGGCTTCGTGGGCACGGGTGGAGGGGATCCCTGGGCCCACTTTGCTCCGCCCCGTCCTCGTCCCCCCCCGCGAGATCTCGCCGTGTCGTCTCGTCATGCTCGCACCGCTGTTGTCCTTCAGCCAATGAAAGAAGTGCCCACGGCGACCCTGGCTCACTTGTGGTCGCTGGTGGAGTGCCTGCAGAGTCTTGAGCTGATTCTCCAGGAGTCGCATAGCTCCATGTTGGAGACCCCACCGAGCACGTTCTCTCAGATGCCGCGAGCAAGGTGACACGTGGCAGCGTCAGCACTATTCTCGTACGTATCGCCACTACAGGTTGCGCCCTCGCCGGGAGTAGTCTCGGCCACCCTCCTGGCTGAGAGGGCCCTGGATCGGAGGACGCTTGTAGCAATGCGTGGAACTCCCGTTGACGTTGTCGGCACCACCGCGTCAGTGGTCCGCCAGATGTGGCAGATCACGCGCGAAATGCTTGGTGAGCTTGAGGCGGACCGCATGTAGGCGCCCCCCTTGCACGGGTGTAGACCCACTCCATGCTTTCTTGTCTAGTTGGTGTTGCTTCCCCTTGATGTAGCCATTTGCTTACCTACTACCTTTCTCGACTTGCCGCCGCTAGCGCGCGGCCGAAGGCCGCGCACGCGAGCGCCGGCGCGAAGCGCAAAAAATTTCAGTTTGAACTGAAGAATGAGAGTGAATAGGCCACGAGGGCCCTTAAGTACTCATGGCAGAGGGCAGAAGACTGAGGGTAGAGGGTAGAAGGGGGAGAGGCTAATCCTCTCTCTCTCGCTCCCTCGAACGAGCAACGCTGAAATTTTCAGTATGAACTGAAGAATGAAATGAGAGGCTAATCCCCCCCCCGTCTCTCTCGATTATAAGTTTTTTGTTTTGTTTTTGTTTTTGGTTTTGTTTTTTTTGTCAACAAAATTATTTTCAATGCTAAAATAAAACAAACACACGAAATATAACAAATACTCACCTCGAGCAGCAGCATCTCCTCGTCAGCAGTCCAGTCCCCACGGACGAGAGGGAAGCTTATCGTGTCCTTTTGAACAACATGTAAGCTGGTTGGCTCTTTCTACAAAGGAAGAACCGTAACGGCAAGCAAGGCAGCGTGGCTCACCTCGAGCAGCAGCATCTCCTCGTCAGCACTCCAGTCCTCACGGACGAGAGGGAAGCTCATCGTGTCCTGGTGGTGTGGGTTGGGCACAGTAAGAATGCGTCCATGCAGACTGGCACTTACACGTCAACTCAAAGTGGCATGTGTTTAGGAGCAGGATGACACAGGCAAAGGACAGAACAGTGGACAGCATGTCTTTATCGCAGCTATCCATTTCCCTCCCACTCCTCTCTTGTCCCCCTTCCCATCACACTCACCACCCTGAGCTTCCCCCTCCCCATCCCCTCCCTGTCCCTCTCCTCTCCCCATCACCCTCTCCCTCCCCTTCCCCCCCCCGCTACCCCCTCCCACTCCCCCTCTCCCTCCCCCTCCCCACTCACCATGATGAGGTAGGGGTGGGAGGGCTTGTGGGGTTGAGCAGCAGCACCCTTTCCCCCTTACCTTCCCCGTCCCATTTCATCTCACATTCCCCCTCCTCCCCCCTCAACTCACCATGACGTGGTAGGGGTGGGAGGGCTTGTGCGGGTGAGCAGCAGCACCTCCTACCGCTTCCCCCTTCTCCATCCGTTTCCCCCCACAACCCCCCCCCTCTCTCTACCGCCTCCCCCTCCCTCTTCCCCCCCACCCACTCACCATGCCGTGGTAGGGGTGGGAGGGCCTGTGGGGGCCTGCTGCTGCACCTGCGCCTTCCCCCCCCGCTCCTGCGCCTCCCCCCCCCCCCCCCCCCGCTGCTACCTACCCCCACGGCGTCCTACCAGCTTGTGGTGGCATAGCAGCGGCGCTTTGGTCTGGGGGAAGGGGACGGGCATGGGGGGAAGGGGGGGGGGGGGGAAAGGGAGGGGGGGGATTTGGGGAGGAAAGGGACAATGAGAGGGGGAAAATTTCCCCGCTGCTACCCCCTCACGGCGTCTTGCCAACTTGTGGTGGCATAGCGGCAGCGGTTGGGTCTGGGGGAAGGGGAAGGGGAGGGGGAGGGGGAGGGGGAAGCGAGAATGGGAAGGAAAGGGAGGAAAAGAGGAAGGGGAAACCTGAGCTTTCCCTGCTGCTTCCCCCGTTACCTGCACCAGCAACATGCCATACAACACAGTACCCCCTTCACATATATGATATATCCTCCATTAGGACGAAGATGATCCTCCTCCCTCCGTATTCCGTATTAGCTCACCCGTTACTAGCACCAGCAACATGCAATACAGCTTACGAAGCACCACTTAACAACCTGGCTGGACCCTCACTAGTGGCATGGTCCTCCTCCCCGCTTATTCCCTAGTAGCACACCCGTTAGTATCAAATCTCAAGTGTAGTACCAGAAGCGCAGTCCTCCTCCCTGCGTCTTCCCTTGTAGCTCACCCGTTAATAGCATCAGCGCACACAGTACCCTCTCACCTGGAACCCCCACTAGGCGCGTGGTCCTCCTCCCTGGCTCCCCTCGACCGACCCATATGGAGCCGAGCCTCAGAACCGGAGGCTCGGAGAGACTAAGAGGCTTGAAGTGTCAAACTCTTATACTATAGTCTGTGTAGACTATATGGGGTACAACACTTCTAGGTTTTCCTACTTGTACCCACCTGCTTGCTAGTTCATTCATTCCTCATTCTTCACATGGTATGGAGCAGGTTCCCTAGTGGGAACGCTTCCTTGGGCCCACCACTGAAAATTTCCTTTCTGACCCGAGCGCCAGTCGCTCCTGCCCGAGGCGCGCCTTTTTTTTGCCGCCCTTTCCAGGCCCCCAGTGGCCCCTAGCGGCCTCGTTGCCGCCCCTCACGCGGCCCCGTTACCACCCCTACGCAGCCCCGTTGCCGCCCTTAGCGGCCCCGTCGCCGCCCCTAGCGGCCCTGTCGCCGCCTCTCACCCTACGCGGCCCCGTCGCCGCCCCTACGCGGCCCCGTCGCCGCCCCTCCGCGGCCCCGTCGCCGCCCTTAGCGGCCCCGTCGCCGCCCCTAGCGGTCCCGTCGTCGCCTCTCACCCTACGCGGCCCCGTCGCCGCCCCTACGCGGCCCCGTCGCCGCCCTTAGCGGCCCCGTCGCCGCCCCTCGCGGCCCCTTCGCCGCCCCTACACGGCCTCGTCGCCGCCCCTAGCGGCCACATCGCCGCCCCTATCGGCCCCGTCGCCGCCTCTCACCCTACGCGGCCCCGTCGCCGCCCATACGCGGCCCCGTCGCCGCCCCTAGCGGCCCCATCGCCGCCCCTACCGGCCCCGTCGCCGCCTCTCACCCTAAGCGGCCTCGTCGCCGCCCCTAAGCGGCTCCGTCACCGCCCCTAAGCAGCCCCGTTGCCGCCCCTACGCGGCCCTGTCGCCGCCTCTAAGCGGCCCTATCGCCGCCACTACACGGCCCCGTCGCCGCTCCCCTCCCTAAGCAGCCCCGTCGCCGCCCCTAGCGGCCCCAACGCCGCCCCTACGGAGCAGCCGAGCAGCAGAGCCGCCGAGCCGCCCAGCAGCCGAGCCGCCGAGCCGCCCAGCAGCCGAGCTGCCGAGCCGCCGAGCTGCCCAGCAGCCGAGCCGCCGAGCCGCCCAGCAGCCAAACCGCCGAGCCGCTCGACAGCCGAGCCGCCCAGCAGCCGAGCCGCTGAGCAGCTGAGCCGCCCTGCCGTCGAGCCGCTCCTCGTCCTACCGGCGCGCCCCTGCCCTACTTACTCGGACTGGTGAGCTCACTCCTTGCTAGGCCACTGCAGTCATGGCTACCCCCAGTGTTCTTACCTTTGATACTGAGGGTCGTGCTGTTGACTTTGAGGTCTGGGTCAATGACCTCCAGCTGTTCCTCCAGTGCGATAGGGCAGACGGCCTCTCCCTGTTCGACCTCACCTTTGGTGCCTCCCCTGCCTCGCCTGCTACTGTTGACAGCACTGTTCGCTCACAGTGGGCGACAAGCAATGCTTCTGCCCGTCTCGCTGTGCGTCGCCACTTACCGACCACTGAGCGTGCGCACTTTAGCCAGTACAAGAGTGCTCAGACCTTTTACGACGCTGTAGTTTCACGCTACTCTTCCCTTGCCACAGATGCACTGAGCCGCCTCATGCTACCGTACCTCTTCCCTGCCCTTGCTGTCTTTCCCACAGTCGCTGACCTCATTACACACCTCCGCACTAGTGACACTCGCTACCGCGCTGCGCTTCCTACTGAGTTCTGCACCAAGAACCCCCCCCCCCCCATGTACATCACCCTCTACTACATAGTCACCCGGCTCCCTAACTCTCTTCGCTTAGTCAGGGACCACTTCCTCTCAGTTTGCCCCACCACACTCACCGTTGACCTCCTCGAGGAGCGCCTCCTAGCAGCCGAGAAGAGAATAGTCGCTGTAGGAGCCTCTCGTGGTGACCCTTGCACCCCCGTCTTTGAGGGGTGTTCCCCCTCCCCCCTCTTGCCCTCTGTTGCTTCTGCTGCTGCGGCCGACCTCGTTGGTTTCTACGGGGTCGCCGTTGCGTCTGTCCCTAGCGGGAGACGCCGCACCGGCAAGGGCAAGGGGGGCAAGGGAGCTGGAGGGGCTAGCTGGGGCGGTGGAGGTGGTGGTGGAGGCAGTGGAGGGGGTGGGGGTGGTGGTGGGAGTGGTGGCGGGGGTGGCGGCGGCGGTGGCAGCAGTGGAGGCGCAGGAGGCGGCGGTGGTGGCAGAGGGAGCGGAGGCGGCGGAGGTGGCGGAGGCGGCGGAGGTGGCGGAGGCGGCAAAGGCGGCGGAGGCGGTGGTGGAGCTGGTCGCGACTCTGCGCAGAGGAGTGGGTCCGGTGGTGGTCCGCGCCAGCAGCAGCAGCGCAATCGTGAGACCTTGTCCCCTCAGCGGCTTCGTGAGTGGTACACTGCGCGTCAGCGCGGTGGGGGTACTGGTCCTTGCACTTACGTCCTCCATACCGGCGACCGCGCTGGTGAGCAGTGCGGGGGCCCGCACTCCACCCAGCGCTGCTTTGGCCGCCAGACGGACGCATGGCGTCACCAGTTCCCTGAGGCGTCAGAGATCCCTCGCTGGGGAGATCTGTCTAGGGCGAGGGTTGCCATCTTTGATCTTGACTATGATGCTTCCTTGCTGCCATGTATGCTGTGTCTACTAGTGGTGAGGGTGACTGTTACCTGTGTGTACCGCCTGACCCGGGCATTGAGGCTACTGCTCTAGGTGCTGGTGAGGTTGCTGCTCTAGGTGCTAGTGCGCCTGCTGCCCCAGGTGCTAGTGCGTCTGCTGCCCCAGGTGCTGGTGAGTCTGCTCTCTCAGGTACTACGTCGGCGCAGGCTTTACACACCTTCACCCTTGACTCGGGTGCTTCCTGCTCCTTCTTTCGAGACCGCACCACGCTGAAGCCGCTTAGTCGGCCGGTTGCAGTCTCCCTGGCGGACCCCTCTGGGGGTCCTGTCCTTGCTAGCTTCTCCACTGTCTTACCGTGCCCGGCAGCCCCCTCTAGCACCCTGTCAGGTCTCTACCTCCCCTCGTTCTCTACGAACTTGGTGAGTGGAGCAGACCTACAGGACAGGGGGGTTGACCAGTTCGCTCCTGCGAGTCAGCGGGTGACCCACTGCACGTGTGCTCCGACAGGCCGACGCTTGGCCACGTTCACCCGTCGGCGAGGGTCGAGCCTGTACACCCTTACTATTGAGTCTCCTCCGGCTGCTGAGTCTGGCCAGGTAGCTGCGTCGAGTCAGTTGTTTCCTGCAGCGTCCAGGTCTGGTCCTGAGTCTGCTCCCTGCTCGTGTCGTCTTCAGTCCCACCAGACTCTCCTTTGGCACCACCAACTTGGTCACCCCTCCCTGCCTCGTCTCCGAGGCATGGCCGCCCGTGTCCTTGTCTCTGGTCTCCCCCGGTCTCTCCCTCCCCTACCTCTGGGGCCTGCCCCTACCTGCATCCCCTGCGTCGAGGGGCGACAGCGCGCCGCCCCTCACTCCTCCGAGTTTCCTCCGACAGAGGCTCCGCTGCAGACTCTCCACATGGACGTGTGGGGCCCCGCCCGCGTCCGTGGACAGGGGCACGAGCGTTACTTCCTGTTGGTGGTTGACGACTACTCGCGTTACACCACAGTCTTCCCCTTGCGCAGCAAGGGTGACGTCACTGAGGTGTTGATTGACTGGAACCGCGCAGCTCGTCTCCAGCTCAGAGAGAGTTTCAGCTCGGACTTTCCTATTCTGCGTCTGCACTCTGACAGAGGCGGGGAGTTTTCCTCTGCCCGTCTGGGAGCCTTCTGTTGTGCACAGGGCATCCGCCAGACCTTCATGCTTCCGGCCTCTCCACAGCAAAATGGGATTGCTGAGCGCCGCATTGGCATGGTCATGGACGTCGCCCGTACGTCCATGATGCATGCGGTTGCCCCCCATTTTCTGTGGCCGTTTGCGGTTCAGTACGCAGTGCATCAGCTCAACCTTCAGCCCCCGGTCTCCTTTCCAGAGACCTCCCCCGCCTTGCGGTGGACGGGGAAGGTTGGCGACGCGTCTACGTTTCGGGTCTTGGGATCTCGGGCGTTAGTCTGCGACTTGTCTGCGGACAAGCTGTCCCCCCGTGTTGTTCCCTGCGTCTTCCTTGGCTTCCCCCTTGACGTGCCTAGTTGGTAGTTTTACCACCCCACCTCGCGTCGTGTTCTGTCCTCCCAGGACGTCACCTTTGACGAGTCGGTACCTTACTACCGTCTCTTCCCCTACCGCACTGCGCCCCTTCCCCCGCCGCCGCTTTTCCTTCCGCCAGGTCCTCCCCCGGTAGACCCCCTCCCCCCTCAGGGTCCTGCCCTGCAGGTGTGTCCCAGGTAGACGCAGTCGAGCCTGTCGAGGTAGCTGTTGACTCTGGTGCTGTTAGAGCTGCTGAGCCTGCGAGTGCCGGGTCTGGGGGTGCTGAGCCTGGGGGTGGTGATTCTGGGGGTGCTGAGCCTGAGGGTGCTGAGTCTGGGGGTGCTGAGCCTGAGGGTGTCGTGTCTGGAGGTGTTGAGCCTGAGGGTGCTGAGCGTGGGGGTGCGGAGCCTGGGGGTGCGGAGCCTGGGGGTGCTGGGTCTGCTCTTGTGGCCGCCGGCGGTGCTTTGTCGAGGCGGGAGCCACTCTCTCCACAGGAGCTGCGCAAGTGGTTTAACCGCCGCTGGAGCCGTGCTGCTGGAGCTGGAGGTACTATTGTTGTTGCTGGTCCCGGGGGGGCTCGTCCTGACGGCTTAGGAGCTGCTGGGACTGGGGGTGTTGCTGGGGCTGCTGGAGGTACTGCTGGAGCTGCTTGCGGTACTGGAGCTACCGGTGCTGCTGTTGGTGGTGTTGCTGAAGGTGCTGGAGCTAGAGCTGCTGGGGGTGTTGGCGCTGGTAGTTCTGCCGGCGCTGGTGCTTCTGAGGGTGCTGGAGTTGGCGCTGTTGGAGCTGGAGGTGCTGCTGGCGCTGGTACTGCCGCTGGGGGTACGGGTGCTGTCCCTGCTGGTTCTAGAGGCGCTGCGCGGTCGCGGCCATACTTCGTTCCGCTCCTTGAGCAGGTTCTTGGTCTTCCGCCTTCTACTGGTCCTGCCC